ACCAATTGTTAAGAGAATCTGGCTTCCCCCATTGACTTTGCTGGTCGGAGGCCGACTGGGAAGGTGGCAAATGGAAATCACATCGTCCTGGGGCAGTGCAACTGTCATAAATACATGCCAATTTGATCACATGACCGTGGGGACGCTGCAACAGTTTTAAAAGCAAGTACTGGTTGTAAGCCACTTTTTCCAGTGCCACTGTAACTTTGCACAGTTGCTAAACAAACGGTTGTTAAGTTGAGGACCACCTGTAATCTTCCCTCAATCAAGCTTAATTTTAAACATTCTGATGACTATACAGACACACCCGTATTTTCTTGGCAACAATACAGAAGTCAATTGGGAGGAATGCATTTTCAATTTCCCAACAGAGCCTGTATTTCCCGATGGCCTTCAACCCATGTATCATCCACATTTAACAAGTTTGACAAGGGGCTGCCTCTTGGTTGAGCAGAAAAAAAAATACTAATTTGTTATGGTCTTATTAAAAGGTATGGGGAGCTCACCTTGAAAAAAGGTAGCAATGCCTGTTCTTATGCGGCAGGGGTCAACTTGGCTTCAATTCCATTGGAACTGACACTGCTACATATTTTTGAAAGGACTCCAATAATAGGCACAGCACAAAGAAAACTCAAGCAATAACTCAGCAGCTGAATTCCTAGTTGCTCTTAAAGGCACAGAAAAAGGTGGTAACTCAAATGGGAATCAGAGATAAATTCCTTTGTTCATATGCATTATGCTAATATGGACTCTTTATGCAACTGAAGAAACAACCGCCTGCCTGTGCGCACACACACACACACACAAAATCCAGTCTGGACTATTCAATATAATACAGGGAGAAGCCATGCTTATTCCATGGACATATGGCCCTCAATTTTACAGAAGTGTGAGAAACAGCATTAGCTATTATAACAAGATTGAAACTGGAGGTATATTTTGCACATTGGTGTGGAGGGCCGCTACTATTCAAGTACTCCCAGAAGTCCTAAATTCTAGTTGCCAGGGCAACTGTCTCTCCCCCAGCTAAGTGATTACCTCTTTCTTGGAAGCCCAACAGTAATACTGTGCTGAATTTGTCTTTTAGTTTCTCAGGAGTTTTCCTCCCATGCAAGGAACACTCTGTTTTTCTATCTTATTTTCGAGGTGCTTGGCAAAGGCTGCAACTACTGATGTTACTTTCTCTTAACTTATCTTTCCCACCACCCTTCCTTGTCTGAAAAAGCCCAGAAGGAGTTCTCTTTTGGTATCTTCCCTTGAAATTTAGCTAAGTGTGGATGCCAGAGAGGCTACCTGTTTCTGGACAGAGGGCTGCACCCTTAAAGGCAAGAGACACCCATGCCTTGGCTGCCTTATATTCCACTCAATTTAGAGATTCACTAAAGTGCTCTTCCTTAAAAAGCAGCTGAAAATTAAATTATTTTGCATCAAATTGAGAATTGTGGAAAAAACAAATCTCTCTTTTCCTGCTCAGTATTTTCTTTGTGGGAGGGATATGCCCTTAAGTCAGTGTTGATTCCTAGCTACTGGAGAAGTCCCTGTAGTTTTCTTGGCAACACTTTCGGAAGTGGTTTGCTATTGTCTTCTTCCTGAGAGAAAGTTGTTATTTTATTATTTAGCATATGAGGAGAACACGATAGAAGAGAAGCCAACATAAATACAGAGTCCACACTACTGTAAGTAAAGCTTCTATGGCAGTATGGCCTCATAGCTTGATGTCCAAGTCAGCCATTATGGCAGTCACCTCTGACATTGCTTCACAAGGATCTTCTAGGGACCAGAGAAGGCACGTCATGGGCAATCTTCCACAATATGTTGAATAGTTTGCATATCAGCACCACAATAGCAACAAGGGGAATCTTTCCATCCCCACTGATACAGGGCAGAGGCACTTTTTCCAGGATCACACCTAATTCTGTTCAATTTCAACCAGACAAAGCAAGACCAGTCAAAACCAGGTGGCTTGGTAGAGGGATCAGTAATGGTCAGGCCACAAGAAGGTACCTTGGACCATTCCTTTCTCCAGGCATTCTCGGGCTTAAACTGGGTCGAGGTTAAGTGAATAACTGTTTTCCAAGCTGGCCTACAGGATTTCAATCTTGTGATGGGGCTGTGAGAAAGTGACTGAGTGGGATATAACACTTGCAAATGAATAAATGAGTAAAACAGATTCCTAATCCAAGAGATTGCCCACCTCTGGCCAAAGAGAGGTGTCCTGATTTCAGCAGAACCATAGAGAAGCAGTGGAATAAATGTAGGAAGTGGCATGTACAGCAAGATCCAGGGCCCAAATCACTAAAGAGCTGATATTGCACCAGAGGAAATGCCTAGGTTCCAGAACAATAAACAGCAAAAGATCAAAGCAAACTTTTAAAACAGTTTAAAAGCTAATATAGTGGAAGAAATATTTGCAACATTTCAATCTCTGCTCGATACAAAACACAAAATGAAAGGGTCTCTGACCTCATTCACCTTTGATGAGTCAAGATTCACCCACAGCACTCCTTTCCCACCTAGCCTGGATGTAATTAAGGAGAAGCTGCAGTGGTAATTTCTCTCCTCATTAACTTCCTGATTGGTTTGAGCCTCAGACTTCCACCAGGCCTCCCATTTGTCATCAAATCCAAATGGCCAATCGTTAAGACTAATGTTTGTGTAACTTAAGTGCCAACATCTGCCATGGCTTCTTGTACAACAATAATAGTGAAAGGGTAACATTGATGCTCCTGTGTTAATTCAGCCTATATTCATCAATGGGGAAATCTATGATATAATTAGCAAAATGCTTTGGTAGACAAGTGTGGTCGAGTCATTTGCGGAAGAAAATGTGTTGCAGTCATTCTGTTTTGAATGGTTATAATTTAGTGGGGAACAATATCCAATGAATTTCTTTCATGTAGACTACAGAGTCATTCTCCTTTCCTTCACTTCATTGATTTAAACTTACCGTACTACTTTTACTGCTTTCAAGGAAGAGAAAAA